TCCCTGGGGTCTGCAGGCTCCTGACCCAGCCTCTCCACCCCTGTACCCCCCAGTGGGACGATGAGACAGACATGGCCAAGCTGGAGGCCTGCGTGCGCTCCATCCAGTTAGACGGGCTGACCTGGGGGGGCTCCAAGCTGGTGCCCGTGGGCTACGGCATCCGTAAGCTACAGATCCAGTGTGTGGTGGAGGACGACAAAGTGGGGACCGACCTGCTGGAGGAGGAGATCACCAAGTTCGAGGAGCACGTGAGTGGCCAGGCCCCCAAGCAAACCCCTGACCAGGCAGGTGGCCAGAGTGGGTGGGTCTTCGGGAAACTGGGCCCCATGTGACCACTGGCCTCCCTCCTCCTCAGGTGCAGAGTGTCGACATTGCTGCTTTCAACAAGATCTGAGCCCGAGCACCGGGCCTGGGTGTGGGAGGCCCTGCAGCCATTAAAGACTGAGATCGCACTCTCTGGCTCCTGTCCTCGTCTGGGCCCAGGGGGCGGGCACATTCAGTGAGCAGCTCGGCCAAGCTCCAGGCCTCACGCTTGGCCTGCGTCTCATTAGTGTCCCAGCTGGGCCCCCGTCTGTCTTGCTCCTTCTCCGCCAGTGACCCTGGGGCCCAGCACCATCCTCCCCTTTCTTGGTCTCTGCACAGCGTTCTTGTGGCTGTGCTCACTCCCCGTCTGCCCCTTCTCTGCCTCTTGGCTGCCCTCCTGATGGCACTCACCCCTCGGTTACAAGTACCACACCAGGTTCAAGCTGTTGAAGCCAGAAACAGAGCATGCGTTGACGGCTTTGCAGGGGCTGCCGGTCCCCCTGAGGCACAGGAGGCCTCTCCACTCTGCCTCCTCTGGGTTCCGTTCGCTGCTGAGCTGACCCCTGGGGAGCAAAAGTGTCCAGGGAAGAAAGGTTCCAGTGGCCGTCTGGCCCTGCTGCTGTGACCACAGTCATGGGCCCCCCAAGTGTGACCTGTGGGAAACCCTGCCAGGCCCCCCAGCATGTCCACAGAGCCTGGCTGATTCCTTAGATGAGGCCCCTGCTGCTCCAGCGTCAGGGCGCTGCCCGTGTCTGCTCTGGGGCCTGCCCCTCCCCCTGGGCAGGCCCGTGATAAATCGCCCTGTGGAGTCGTGCCCACGGTCCTGTCTGGGCGGTACTTGGCCCTGGCAGCCCCTCCCCTGAACCGTTGGCCAGCGTGGCTGGTGAGAGCCGTTCTGAGTTGGGGACAAAGGGTGTGGGCTGTGGTTACTTCTGGTCTGAACTGGTGCCCTCCAGGGGCCCAAACCGCACGGGAATGGACTGCCCCCCTTGATGGCTCTGTCAGCACCACCGACGGGCCCCCTCGGAGCAGATTCTAGAGTCCCCGGCGCCTGCCGCCCCTCCCCAGGGCAGGCTGGGCGTGGCCCTAGCGCGGCCTCGGGCCCCGCGGCGATAGTTGCCCTGCCAGGGGGCGGGGCCCCGATCAGACGGCGGGCGGGGCGTCACGGGGGCGGGGCGCGGGCCGGAGTCCGGGCGCCGGAGCGGAATGGCGGCGGAGCAGGACCCCGAGGCGCTCGCGGCGGCTCGGCCGCTGCTCACCGACCTCTACCAGGCCACCATGGCGCTGGGCTACTGGCACGCGGGGCGGGCGCGGGAGCAGGCGGAGTTCGAGCTCTTCTTCCGGGGCTGCCCGTTCGGCGGCGCCTTCGCCCTGGCCGCGGGGCTGCGCGACTGCGTGCGTTTCCTGCGCGCCTTCCGCTTGCAGGACGCAGGTAGCTCCACCCTAGCCCGGCCAGCCCCCACGACCCTGCTGGACACCTGCCACCTAGACGCGTCTTTCCCTCCCCCACCCCCCGCCTGAGAGCCCCGGACCAGAGTCCCCCATGGCCCAACAGCCTCCCAGGACCCCCGACGGTCCCAGCCCCGACGAGTCCTCCACGGCCTGCGCCAGCTCCAGCCAACGAGGGCCTCTGTCACCCCCAGACGTGCAGTTTCTGGCCTCGGTGCTGCCGCCCGACACGGACCCCGCGTTCTTCCAGCACCTTCGTGCCCTCGACTGCTCCGATGTGACGGTGCGGGCTCTGCCCGAGGGCTCCCTCGCCTTCCCCGGCGTGAGTTGCAGGGTGAGCGGGGGGCAGAGGGCGTGGGCCCGAGCGTGCCGGGCGGCGCCGAGCTGACAACTGCCCCCCCACCCCCCCCGCGGCAGGTGCCCTTGCTGCAGGTGTGCGGGCCGCTCCTGGTGGTGCAGCTGCTGGAGACGCCCCTCCTCTGCCTCGTCAGCTACGCCAGGTGGGGCCCCGCCCGGGTGGGACCCCGCCGGCCTGGAGGCAGACCCGGGGGAGGAGCTGGGCGCCGGGACGACGAGCGGGGACTTCGGGGGGGGGGGGGCGGCGAGCCTTTGGGATGGGGAGTGGTTCCAACCAGGAAGCGGAGCGCGGGGCCAGGGCTCTGGAGAGGGGCCTCCCGCGCCCACTGTGGAGGGCCTTTGGCAAAGGGGGCCCAGGTCCGCGGTGACTTCGTGACCCTCACCGCAGGTCCCCTGCTCCCTTGTCCCCGATAGCCTCATCGCCACCAACGCTTCGCGGCTTCGCCTGATCGCGGGTCCGAAGAAGCGGCTGTTGGAGATGGGGCTGCGGCGAGCCCAAGGCCCGGATGGGGGTCTTACCGCCTCTACCTATAGCTACTTGGGCGGTAAGAGCCCGAGGAGGGAGGCAGGGGCCGGGGAAGGAGGACACCCGCCAGACGCCCTCCGGCCCCGTCTGATGCCCACCTGATGCCCTCCTGACCCCCTGGCTCAGGCTTTGATGGCAGCAGCAATGTGCTCGCAGGACAGCTGCGGGGCGTGCCCCTGGCCGGAACCCTGGCACACTCTTTCATCACTTCCTTTTTGGGCACTGAGGTGCCCCCCGACCCGGTCAGTACCCCTCACGCCCCTGCTGCGCTCCAGAGGGCAGACCCCACAGCCAGTCCTTGCCCACCTGAGCCCCCGGCAGGTAGCCCCAGTGCTGGGAAGCTGGTAGTGCTGGCCTTACCCCTGCTCAGACCCTCAGCCGGCGGTCAGCCAGTCCTCACCCTGCACTATGGGCTGCCCAGCCTTCACCGACCCCTTTCCATAGATGTTGGCTCCAGCTGCCAGTCAGGGCCCCAGGGTGGATCTGGCTGCTTGTGCGGAGGCATGGCTGGATCGTGTGTGTGCCCATCTGGGACTGGGGGTGCAGGAGCCCCACCGGGGGGAGCGGGCAGCCTTTGTGGCCTATGCCCTGGCTTTTCCCCGGGCCTTCCAGGGCCTGCTGGACACCTACAGTGTGCAGAGGTGAGGCCCAGGTCCTCCCCTGGGTGGGCTCTGCAGAGCAGCTGTGGCCCCTCACCGACCCTTCTCCTTCCTGCTGGCAGGAGCGGTCTTCCTAACTTTCTGGCAGTAGCCCTGGCCCTGGGGGAGCTGGGCTACCGAGCAGTGGGTGTAAGATTGGACAGTGGTGACTTGCTGCAGCAGGCCCAGGAGATCCGCAGGGTCTTCAGGAGCATTTCGGCCCAGTGAGTCCCCTGGGACGGGTTATGCCTACTGAGAGATCCTGTTGGGGGCAGGAACGTTGGGATGGGGCAGAGGAGAGAGCAGTTTGTCCCTCCCAAAGTGAGTAGATCTGATCTGGTTGCTACCGCAGCAGAGACATTGGGACCTTGGCAGGGAAATCAGGGGTGGGTTCACCCAGGGGCTCATAAGCAAAAGGTCAAGACCCATGTGGCTGAAGGCAGATTGTCAGGTGGTGGGGGGCATGCGTACCTGGAGAGGGAGAGTGACCGGATGCCTCAGGGGATATCTGAGGGGCTGCCCATCACAGGTTCCAGATGCCCTGGCTGGAATCGGTCTCCATCGCCGTCAGCAACAACATTGACGAGGAGGAGCTGACCCGGCTGGCCCAGGAGGTGGGGCGGGCAGGGGCAGGCCAGAGGGGGGCCAGGAGGGCCCCGGACCTGCCGACATCAGCTAGGTTCAGTGCCACCTTCTCTCTCCTCGTCCAGGGCAGTGAGGTCAACGTCATTGGCATCGGCACCAATGTGGTCACGTGTCCCCGCCAGCCTTCCCTGGGCTGCGTCTATAAGGTCGGGATAGGATCTGGGTCCCAGTGGGGTGGGCCGGAGGGATCGGGGTTGGGGGAGAAGGGTCCGGCAACCCCAGCACACGCATCTGCAGCTGGTGTCTGTGGGAGGCCAACCCCGAATGAAACTGACCGAGGACCCCGAGAAACAGACGCTGCCTGGGAGCAAGGCTGCCTTCCGGCTCCTGGGCGCTGATGGTGAGGTCCCCCCACGCCTCCCGCTCCTCGGCGGTCCTTCTCCCGTCCCCAGGCCCCCCGCTTTACTCTTGGCGCGCACGCAGGGTCTCCGCTGTTGGATTTGCTGCAGTTGGCCGAGGAGGCACCGCCGCGGGCTGGCCAGGAGCTCAGGGTCTGGCCTCGAGGGGCCCAGGGAGCCTGTAGAGTGAGGCCTGCCCACGTGGAGCCCCTGCTGAGACTCTGGGTCCAGCAGGGACAGGTAGCCGCTTCCACCTGCTCCCTCAGTCTGCTCCTTCACCCTGAGTTCCCTGGCCCCTGACCCTGACCACTGCCCCACCCCTGCCTTCCCTCTTCCCCCAGCTGTGTGAGCCCCTCCCATCTCTGGCCGAATCTAGAGCCTTCGCGCAGCTGTCCTTGAGCCGTCTGAGCCCGGAGCATAAGCGGCTGCAGCAGCCTGCACCATACCGGGTGGGTGCACGCCCATGTGGTCAGCTTGCCCGCGTGCCCTCCGTGCCTACGGCCACCCGTCATCCTCTCTTCCTCCTACAGGTGGCGCTGTCTGACAAGCTCCAGGCCCTGGTGGCCAGACTGCGGGCAGGAGAGTCCTCCTGAGCACTGTGCTGGGGCTGCCTGAAATCAACATGAGTCACTCACTGTCCTGCACAGCTTGTCGTGTGTCCTTTCTTCACCCAGCCTGCCGCTCACTTGACCCCCAGGGCCTCCAAGGGTGGGCTGGACTCAGGGATCAGAGCCTGGGTGCACGCCCCCTGGGGGAGGCCCAGGCTCTGCCCTGGGGAGCGGGGGAGGCTGCCCTTTGCTGGGGTCTGAGGGTGGCCAGGCACCAGGCCAAGGCTGGTAGTCGGAGGCTCGTGCAGCTGGACTGTGGGGCCAGATCTGAGGCTGGACGGGACAAGGCTCTGGGGAAAAGGAGGCTGATAGTGCCCACCTAGGAGTTGGTGGGGTTCTTGCAGGAGGCCGGGGAGGGGGAGCCAGGGGGTGGGGTTGAGGTCCCAGGAGGAGGGTCTTTGGGGACCTCCTGTATCCAAGCATGGCCCCAGACCCCACACCAACCAAGGGCAGTGCCCCGGAGGAGTCAGTGGGACGCCTCAAGCCTGCCAAGCCAAGAGAAGCCCAGGTGTCTCTGGCCGCTGCAGCGGGACTCTGCAGGACTCTGCCACTGGGCGCTGTGCTCTTGGGCTCCACCATCTGTCATGGGCTCAGCCAGGCCTGACCCGGGAGCCTTACGAAGGGACAGAAAGTGGCATTAGAGCCAGTGAAGAAATGAATGGTGCTGGGCTGGTGCTGCCTCTGTGCGCACAAAGCTAGTCAGGTTTCTGCTGGCTTTGGCGACTCGGGCTCCACAGAAACCACTCGGGAGAGCTGTTCTCAGTCATGTGGGGCGGGGGGGCCGGGCCTCTCGGATCCAGGCAGCACAAGGGGGCAAGCGCAGGCAAGGGCGTGGAGGGCTGCTGGCTTCCTGCGGTGCTTCCTAAAACACTTCGGCCTCTTCAAGTATCTGACCAGACTGGCTCTTCTGGATCCCAAGGCTTAGTTAGGCTGGGCAGTGCCCTGTGTCACCAGGTGAGCATGACAAGATTTGGGGCAGAGACCTGGTCAGGCCAGCTCTGGGGAGCATGAGGCTTGGAGAGATACAGACTCACAAACACCCACGTGGCAGAATACAGGCCCCAGGTACCCCCACAGGTCCACCACTTCTCAGCTGTGCCCTTCCTCTGTGCCAGGACCCAGGAACCCTATATTCCAGTGTTGGGTGCAGGGGGCACCTCAGAACGGGCCAGGACCCAGAAGGCCCACCCCGACGTATGGCAGCAGGGGCACTCCTCTTGCCTCTGCTCCAGCCCAGGCCTGCCTGAGCTCAGAGGTGGTGACACCTTTCTCAACCATCCTCATCCCCAAGATGTCTGGCTGGGTCAGAATGCAGTGGGGACAGCCCAGCTTCTGGCCCCAGGCCCTGCCTGGACCCAGCTGCTTCTTTAGGGCTGAATCAGGCAGGGCCTTAGCTCAGGGTTGGGCCCTGACTTCTGGACCCTGGACCGTGCTGGGGTCTCCTCCGGGCTGTCCACACCTGCCGGGGGTCTCCCCGCCCAGAGGGGTTGGAGGTCAGGGTGAAGCGTCCTTCTCCCCCTCTTCTTGCAGATCCACCATCCCAGGGATCTCATCATCCCTTCCCAGGGCCTGGTGGGCAGAGCAGACCCCACACACTCCAGCTGCAGGCTGGTACTCCCTGCCAGCAGCAAGGGCACGCAGGCCCTTCCCGGGCCCCTGATGTGCACACCTGTGGGTGCCTCTGTGGAACGCCCCAGCCCCCACACAGGGAGAGCACGAGCACACACGCATGCGCCACCACGCCTCCCCTGGTCCTGCCTGCCCTGGGCCAGCTTCTAGGTCAGGCCTGGGCACGACTTCCTGGGAGAACCGGCGGCAGGCGCTACGGGCTGGATCCAGCCACTCGCGGTGTGCGGTGGCCATGGCTTGGGGCGCGTGGGGCCGGTCCCAGGGGGGCCCTGTGGGGGCTCTAACCCTGACAGCTCTGGCTGAAGGGATCCAGGCTGACCAGGGGCAGACCCCGGGTCGCTCTTCCCTTGGCCCTCAGCCGGAACACGGGCTTGAACCCGAGGTGGAAGCTGAGGGTGCAGCTGCCATCCCCACGGCTGGCAGTGAGGCCTGCTCCCTGCCCGGCAGGCAAGAGCCGGCCCCTGAGGGGCCCTATCAGGTGAGCGGGGAGGGAGGCTGAGGGGACCACACGGAGGAAGCGGGGGTGCTGGGGAAGAGCGTTGGGAGAGCCAAGGGGACTCTGCATCCCATCCACCCTGCCCTAGGACCCCCAGAGTCCCTGGGAGGAGGGGGCCCTTGCCGACCTGGCGGTGTACACGGCTGCCTGCCTGGAAGAGGCTGGCTTTGCGGGGACCCAGGCAACTGCGCTCACGCTGTCCTCGGCTCTGGAGGCCCGGGGGAAGCGTCTGGAGGACCAGGTGAGCCACCACCCTGTCCCTGCCCCCCTAGCTCCTGCTGTTGAGTTCCAGGGCTGGGGGCTGGGAGTGAGCACCTGCCAAGCACACTCGCTTCGGGCTGCACCTGCCCCGTGGGGGTGCAGAGTGGTACACCGCAGCCGTCTGCTCCGCCCCGCCAGGTGTACGCCTTGGTGCGGGGCCTGCGGACACAGGTGCCCAGCCTGGCCGAAGGGAGGCCCCGGCGGGCGGCCCTCCGGGTGCTGAGCGCCCTGGCCCTGGACCATGCTCGGGAGGTGGTGTGTGCGCTGCTGCCAAGCTCCCTGCCCCCGGACCGGTAACCTGCCTCCCCCAGGCCAGCAACCGCGTCCCTGAGGCCCCCACGCAGCTTCCTTCCCCCTTCCTGATGCGCGGTGGAGGCGAGCCCGGGGGTGGGGGGAGATGTGGAGGGGGCAGAGCCTCCAAATTCCCTCCGCTTGACTCCTGTCCTCCATCCACTCCCCACCCCTCTCGCCTGGGGTCCCTGGCTTGGGGGGCCTGCTTTCTCCCCGCCCAGGTCACACCAGGAGCCCAGCCTGGGGCTCCAAGGGGGGACGAGCGAGCCGGGTGGCTGCTTCTCCCCCACGCCGCTGGCCCTTTGGTCGGTCTGCCCGGGAGCAGTTATGTCGGGTCTCGCTCTGTACAGTGACTGTGTCTAATACCAGGTTTGTGGCCCTGCTGCTGGCCCCCCAGGACCCTGCGGGGCCCGCCCCGCCAGGCAGCTGCAGACAGTCTGCACAGCTGGCAATTGTTTTGTTTTTCTGGGGTTTGCGGGTGGAGTGCCTGGGGATGCTTTACCTCCTCCTCCCCATGCTGGAGTCCTCGAGGCCACCTCCCACCCTGACCTGGGACTCCCCACGTCGGACCCTGTCTCAGGTGCTCGTACCCCCAGCCAGCAGCTGAGCTGTGGCGCAGCCTGAGCCGGAATCAGCACGTGAATGGGCAGGTGCTGGTCCAGCTGCTGTGGGCACTGAAGGATGAAGCCAGGCCCGAGCTGGAGGCCTTGGCGGTAGGTGACGAGCCAGCGCAGCCGGGGGGCCACCCCCAGGGCTGAGGGGGTCGGAGAGTCTGGCCCCAGGGGTGCGGGGGCAGCAGGCTCTCGCCGGAGCGTCTGAGGCTTTGTCCTAGTTCTCTGTCCAGGGCGCCCAGAGCCTGAGCTGGGCTGCTCGTTCCGCAGGCCACGCGGGCCCTTGGAGAGATGCTGGCTGTGTCCGGTTGTGTGGGTGCCACGCGGGGCTTCTACCCACACCTCCTGCTCGTGCTGGTCACACAGCTCCACCGGCTGGCGCGGCGCGGGCACTCCCCTGACACCCCGAAGGTGCGGGCCCCATGGCGCCGAGGGCCCCCGCACAGCCACGCCAGGTGAGGGCCCACACCGGAGGGCAGCCAGGGCTGGGCCTCTGCCCTTCCAGCCCTCCCCACGCGCTTGCTCCCTGCCCCCACCGCAGCTGCGCCGTGGAGGCCTTGAAGGCCTTGCTCACCGGGGACGGTGGCCGTATGGTGGTCACGTGCATGGAGCAGGCCGGAGGCTGGAGGAGGCTGGTGGGAGTCCACACCCACCTAGAAGGCGTCTTGCTGCTGGCCAGGTGCTGGAGGGGGTGCCGGGGAAGAGGCCGGGGCAGGAGGGTGGTCGGGTGGAGGCTTCTCGAGGGGCGAGGCGGTGAAAGGAGGGAGCACCCCCACTTCCGCCCCATCCAGTGCCATGGTAGCGCACGCGGACCACCACCTGCGGGGCCTGTTCGGGAGCTTGTTGCCGCGGCTGCGCAGCCCCGACGACACGCAGCGCCTCACGGCGATGGCCTTCTTTACCGGGGTGAGCCTGCTTCCATGTGGGTGGTGAGGGGCGCCCGTGGACCTGGCCCCTAAGCAGCGCTGCCAGCATGGGGGCCTCGAGCACGCTGACCCCGGGGCCCCTCTCTCAGCTGCTGCAGAGCCGGCCCACAGCAAGGCTCTTGCGGGAGGAGGCCATCCTGGAGCGGCTCCGGGCCTGGCAGGGCGACCCCGAGCCCACCGTGCGCTGGCTGGGCCTGCTGGGCCTCGGCCACCTCGCGCTGAACCGCGGGAAGGTGAGGGACCGGGCTGGGGTGGGGGGACCTGGGCGGGGGCCGCGAGGGGCCGCCCACG